CAAAATCTCGATTATATACTGCATTTGATAGTTAAACTGAGATTGTATGGAGTTAAGCTCAGTTAAACTCCAGAGCAAAATGCACCCGACGCTTTACGAGAAAATATGCGATGAAATAATTCGAGTTTGTGTAGATTCCAAATATGTATTAATCTATTAAGAAAGTAAATTATCAGATAAAAAAAAAATCTGCGCTGTATTAAATAGTCTTAAAAATTCGAAATATTTCAGCAAATTGGATTTTGGGTGGCATATTTTGGTATAGAAGAAAACTATATTATCCACGTTATTTCGACACGTTATTCGACATAAAAGACGAAGAAGTTGAGTTTTGGAACTGAAACTGCCCCAGATGGATTTAACTGGATAATTGATCAAATTAAGAAAGGTTAACCGAAAACTATAATTTTTTTCGAAGATATTGTAATCCATGTCTTGCTTAAGTCTTGTCAAGACTACTTTACAGTGAAATACTGTCATGCGAAGGCATCTGTTCACCAAATATACAAATTAACAGTTGGGATTGAGTTCATACCGATTACGCAGGATCTCTTCAAAGATTTTATAACTACTCGTTAAAGATGCAAAATTATTAATTCAGAAGTCAAACATCAAAAATCAGCGTTATATTTTAAATCATTGCAAAAGGCATCTAGTTCAGAAAATATCATAAAATTACTTTACAGCATTTTTACAATTTATTTATATCCTCTAGTTACTTCTGATGATGCTTCAATTTTTATTAACGAAGCTATGAAATATTTCTGTTGAATGACTGGAATGAGACAAAATTTACCCAACCAGGACATCCAGCAACCAATCCTAATGTAATTAATCCAATTAATGATTTCTGAAAATTTTTCCGTTTGCTTGAAAATTCAAAGGACATTCCTTTTCTGTTGAGCAAGTGCTTTAGCAAATGGGAAGTATTTTGCAGATATGTACTTAATTCTTTAACTTTGCATTGAAAAAACAATGTTTCTATACTATGAAATGAAAGTTAAACAAAAGATCAAACCTCACACTCGAAACATTCAAGTCGGAGAAAGAGTAAGAAAGAAAGTTTTTGTAAACAATAAACAGAATTGAAAATTTAGAGTTATAACTAAAAAACGCGGGCTTCATCATTACACTGTAAAATTAGATGTAGAAAGAGAAGTTGTAAGATTTTTTCTCCCTTCGTACAGAGTGCTCTCGTGATATAATTGTAAATTACGCCCTGCTAACATCGGAAGGTTAGGAGTACGAGTCTCCATGCAGCTGTTTTCCTGTTTCTCAACTAAAATGTATATAAATAAAATAAAAACTCCTACAAGACTCGCCCTTGGTGCTTAGACTAAACATGTGGTGGATGATAATTCGTCACTACTAAGATTTGGCGACAGGTCTTTAGTCTCATCAAGCACCCTTTAAAAGGGGAATTCGAGTCCCGGTGAAGGCATAGTTCATTTTTCATACTTACTTTCAAAAAATTCTAATGACTCTAAGCATTACCTCAATAAAATTAAAAATAGGAAAGGGAAAGTAAAATTCAATGAATCTCTTTCGGATTCGAGACTCTTCCAGAATGAAAATTACAATTCTCATTATCAACTCTCTTGTTACTCAAAGACGCGAGTTCAGTAATATGAGAACACAACAACCAACAGAAGATTGTTTTCTCACTAAGCCGGAGATTTGAAAGAATACGATATCCACATGCATTATTACAGGAGTATGTCCTATCTTCATATTTTTACTTTGAGTTAACTAATTTTGTTAAGCGGGAGAAAATGTAACATACTTTACAACATCTACACCATTTTGAACATTTAATTTTCTATTAAAAGCAAATTCTGTTTTTTTTTTTAATTGCTTGAATTCTTTTGAATTGTCAATAGTATAGTATTAGTTTTATTTTTGGTTTAAGATATTTGTTATCTATAATCTAATAAAGTATGAGTGTTAAATGTAAAATACTAGATGTTTATGAAGGAATTTGACCATTCATCAATCCACATAAATGGACAGTTGCCAGTCACAACATTTTCTCAAATACTGACAAGGTTATGTCTTTTAAGATTGCAAGTTAAGTTTTAATTTATTGTATAATGACTTTCTATTCAATTTTATTACACCTTTAAAGATAGGATGGAAGTGAACAGGAAAGGCGTTATTTTATTTTTCTCAGGATTTTCAGAAAACGTAAATGGAGATAGGCTTTTAAAGAAGAAGAGAAAAAACTGAAATATATACCTAATTAAGTACTTTCTCTAACCAACTTTACTTTGGAAATTTCTCAATTTTAACTAATTTTCCATTTTCGGCTGCACATTCTTTTACTGAAGCTTAGTACATGCTTAGCATAACACTTCCCTGACGGAGGTGTGTGCAATACTACACCGTGCAAAATTAAGAGAATTAGCACATTAGTGTCGAATTTCCAAAAACCTAATAGACAGATTTTAATGAAATTTCGTATGAATATACATTTATAACAGATAAAGAGATGTATCATATAAAAGTCATTTTATTTTTGCATGATGCAGGAATGAAGGAATATCAAAAATCCATGTTGTAATATCGAACTGAAATTTAGTCTAATATGCCGTATGATTTCCTCTACAGTCATACAGGTCGCCCAGCGTAATAAAATACTGGACAAGAGGAAATTGAGGAGTCCATGTGGCTGCTCCCACTCGTGAAACGAGACAGTATCCAACTCTGGGATGGTTCTTGGAGGAGATGACATTACCTTCTAAGAGCGTCCCAAATATGTTGTATGGGAGATCAGACTGTCAATCCAAGCAGGATTGATTCATGATCTATCAGGAGATCTAACTTGCAATCCAATCAGCAAATATCCTCACTTTCGAGATAATAGTCGACCAGCTAAACCCACTGTGTACCACCAACTACACCCCAGAAACGTCGAACATGGGGCTCTAAGATCTCCTATCTGTACCTCATAGCACTCAGGAAGTCTGTGAAACGCATGCAGGAATGTGCGGTCGTCCAGCATAAAGCCTGCCCAAACCATTACATCTCCACCCGAAAAGGAAGGGATGATTCCAGACTCTCTCCAGGCACAGGTACGCCTAGGATAAGTTTCCAAGCTGAATGTCGACTCATATTTGAAAACCACGTTACTCCACTAAGTCTGGTCAAGGCGCATGATTTCTGTACCACACTGAACGCGCTCTTTTGTGTACTACAGTGAACGGAATGCAAACAGCTGGTCTTTTAGCATACAGCTCTATTTCATGAAGCCTTTGGGCAATTTTAAACCATGAAACTCGGGTTCCGGTGGCAGTATACAGCTCGCACAAGAATTGTGAAGCTGTAGCATTCTTGTGTCGCTGCTTTGAAAGTGCCAAGTAATGTCCCTCATTCGCCTTTATGGATCTTAATTGACCTTTTGCAATTATTCGCGAAATGGATCCAGTGTCCTGAAACTATTTTCACAAATTACAATGACACTGGGCGTTACATTGAACTCTGTAACACCTGCACTTGTGATTGGCCTACCTCTAATCTACTGACAATTCTTTATTTCATACCGTCATCCATATGTTCATGGCTACTCATTTTACCTGATACCTTATAAAATTTATCCAACTCTTGAGAATCTCGCGTAAGATTACGAGCACACTAGTATTATCCGAAAACCTTCGGGCATTTATATCCTCTTTACGATCACAGCTGATCAGACACGCTCGTGTATTCGTGCATTCGACTTTGAATATTCGCAGAATTTTTTGTGAGCATAATTAGTACCTTTGGTTCAGAATAATTCGTATAAATAGACATAATTTGCAGATTTCCTTTAACTTTGCACAAGAGTGTATTTCATGCCTTAATGTTTAAAGCCTACACAGTGCTGGTACTGACACTTTAAAGAAAAAATACGAACTAATTACTGCTGATTACGTATAGTGTTAGAATGATTCAGTTTCGTTATTTTCTTTTGAAAAGCTTCTTTTTCGTATATATTAACATCTTTATTGAGATTTTGTTTACTTATTTAAGAAGCGAGATATTTCATACATTCATATATACATTTATGTTAAAATATTGTTTGTTGCAATGCAGTCTTTTAGAAATTTTAGAACACGTGTATATCATAAGCATAGATTGCAATCTTTCTTTATAGTTATCATTGTGTTATGCAAACTATTCTGTACTGTAACCCCCCCCTCTAAAAGAATGCATCCAACGTTTGCCTGTTCTTGCTCAATCTTTACACTCACGAAAACCTTTTCTGTGTATCAAACAAAACTATTTTTTATGCAATATGATAACATTTTGTAGTTTTACAGATTCCTTCCGTTAGTAAAACCTATACGCTTTTTTAATTAAAAGATTTTCCCATTTTATCCATATAAAAGGATTTTTTGGGCATTTGTTGGTAGTTTTGGCATCATACCTTTTATTAAAATCACCAATTAATTTTGATGCTACGATTGATGTAAAACATAGGATACTGTGTCAAGTTTGTTTAAAATTAATAATTACATAAAAGTTGAATTCAAAACTTTGACTTTATTTAATCACATAATAAATATGTAATAAATAATCAACAATATTTTTGTGACATAGTGTTGCTTCTAAAACTGCAAGAATTTCTGAGAGAATTAACAGCAAGCTAAAACAATTCTTTCTTTGTTGTCTCTCATATCAACTTATATACATCTCTTTGCTCTTTAATTATAAAGCAGAGAACGAATCTTTGTTGCACTTACTTAGTTCTTGCTGTAAATTCCTACTAATCTGGTAATATTACTTAAAGTAAGAAACAGTACTAGTATAAGTTGGGATTATTTCAACTGATTTTTATTTCTAACAGTTTATGACATACAAAGCTTATGGATAATCTATATGTATTGATTCTCTTTTGTACTACTTTAAGAATTAGGATAAATTCAGTCATTGGGGAATTTTGTATAAATGAGAAGAATATGCAAATAATGTAGTTAATATCTGATGAATTTAAAAATAAGTGAAAATAAAAACACCAAAACTGTATCTATACAAATCAGCATTTTATTTTGTGCGTCAGACTGTACATAACACAAATGCATAAATAACACACTGAGAGAGGAGCCAGAGCAGCCGTTAGTAATTCAGAAAGGAGGTGCTGCTGCATCTGTGCTGTCCTCTCTGCATTATTTGGCATAACGAACATTCCAAGAATGAAGACCTATATCCTTTAGCATTGTTAGAAACACGTAGGACCAAGGTTGTATTGCTAGAAAGAGTTGTACCAATGTCCTTGAGCAATGTGAAAGAACCTAGAATGTGTAAAATGAAGAAATGAGTGTATTTGAAAAAATATGCTGTAACGGGTAGTAAATACAGAAGATTACATTCGCATCTGCTGAATATGTCGTATAATTAAAATTGCTTAAATTAATAATTTAAAATAAATGAACTAAGTGATGTAGAAAACCAAATATTGTACGCAGTTTCCTCGAGTACATTTCTCATAACTGCTCTACGTCGTCGGAATTCTGCGACAATCTCTTTTCGCGAATTCTGAACTGATTTTCCGACATTTGTAAAGCAATTTTCGAATCTTTGTAAATCAGATTTGAAAACTCATTAAAAATTAATTAAAAAATAATAAAAGTTTGAATTCAAAAATAATGAGCAGACGTGAGAAATTTTTTCAATATACAAATACTATAAGAAGATTACTACTTAACATATTATTCATAAAAACATAATTTTAATGCAAAATAATAAAATAATTTTAATTCAAGTAAAATATACTGAGTTTAAAGTCATCTAAGGGCGAATTTTCGTATAAATGTTCAAAAAGGCTGCTGACAAATTTTGTTTTAAAAAATAAAGATAACCTTGTTAGTCTATAACTCTAAAACTTCCATTCTTTAATAGATGCGACACTAAAGCAAATATGGCAGTCTGTCTACCAAAATTTATTCTTAAGCGTATAAAGTATATATTTCTAATTTTTAAATGTAATGTAACTTTTCTTACAATGAGAAACACTAACAGGCGAATTAATATACCAGGGAAAATATGAATGATTAAGTTCGTAACTGAAGTCCGAAAACTCCTCCTAAAATAATATCTACTCGAAAGAAAATCGCTTATGCTGTCACACGTAGCTAACTTTAAACAAGAAGGAAAAGGAAACAAAAATCTTCGAAGGTCAAAACAAAAGAAGACCAAGGTGATGGAAATGACCTTGCCACAACTAGCTTAATTAAAAGTTTCAGGTAGAAGTCTGACGGGTCGAATTTAAATTAAATCGCTCCTCTTCATTGAAACTTGTTCTGCTTTTTCTCTTTTCTATGCCCTGCTTTATTGGACTATGGTCAGTTGTTAAATATGAAAAGACCGAAACAAATTTAGCTAAGTGTATAATTCTCGCTTTTTTAACCGAACGACTCTTGATATCTAAAATGCTTTTCGTTGTCTTTTCCCTTAATAAATGTTTCGTAAAGATTAAATGGACGCATAGGATAAATTTCCTTATGCTTCCAGATGTTTGCGGATAAGGGTTGATATTTTATGACTTAAACTGCTAAGTATTTTAACTTCCAATAAAAACAGCATTTTGCAAAATAATCGAATTGGCTAATGCTATTAACAAATTGAATGAACGATAAACATTTCTTTATAACCGAGGTCAACCACTCAAACTAAACGTCTTTTGATGGATTATGTTATGTATGGGAGCAGTACCAGAATTGGCACATGATAATAACTAGAATTATTATACGTATTAAAAACAGGCATATTTATTTTTTCAGCACTTTTTCACTCAGTTCCTGTCTGGATAATTTGAGGGCTTGCATTAACTTGCATTCGATTATTTAGGTCTAAAATGCTTTCGAATTAAAATTTTCGCTATTTGATTAAAAATTATTATAATTAATACTATTAGCTATAATAACGAATAACTGCAGCTAATAAAAGAAGGATGTTCGTTTTCTGTTTTATATTCAAGCTAATCTTTCTTATTCCATAAAATAAAACAATGGAGTGTTTGTATTATTATACTACCTCTGATATATTTCTGATCGTTTTTCTTATTAAAATTTTTAGTTTAATTTTTCAAATGATTTATATACAATATTACTTACACATTTAGAATGAAACGGTTTAACATTTTAATTTGTAAATATTGTTTAATTCATATATATCATAATCTTGATCAACACAACTATTACTATCTTACCTAAGACAATTAATAAATATACAATTTCTAAATTAAACATCTAGTAGTGGCCGTAAGAGGGAGCTCCATAAGCGGCACCACCTCCATAACCGGCACCTCCACCATAACCATGATGTTGAGGGGGTTGAGCATGGAGCTCAACATCAGCAGGGCTCTGGCTTTCAGTTCCGGGCTCGTTTGTCTTAACTGAAGCACGGAAACCATGATGATCAGCTACATAGTCAACCTGTCTGTAATTGCCGTGAGCATCAGTGTAACCGTAACTTCCTTGGACATTGCCATGTCCGTCTCCTTTCTCTTGACGAGTCTGCTTGAAGTCTCCGCTGTGGTGGTCGCCTCCAACAATGTCGTATCCGTAGTGGTAAGGGATGGGTTGGGCCTGGAAGTAAAATAGTATTAAATGTACCAACTGTGTAGCAATGAATACTAACTATTACTGTGGTTTGAATGTTTCTAAAATTGCATATTTTTTATGCCTTTTAATCCAAAATTATTTTCGCATCATGGGCTTAAGCATCTTGAATGGATTATTTATAAACTGGTCTCTCTTTTTCTAGAAGAAAGCAGTCTGATGTAAAGCTTGTTGTTGGCTCATTAGAGTAAGGATTTTATTGCAAACAGTATTCAGTAGTTTACCGATTGCTGGGCGAAAAGTAAATTACTGATTGTTGTTTCTACATTTAACTAAACTCCTGATTAAAGTTTTAAAGCTCCTTGGAAATTGACTCATCATAATTTTTAGAGCAAAAACTATGACAAGAAACTATGATCAAAAACTATGACAAGACCTGAAATCAATGGTTGCAATTTTTATTCTAAATTTAACTAGAATTTATATTATTAATTAGTAACTGATGTACAATTTTTTTTATAAAATAAAACATTCATTATATCTGATTCGCTTTTTGGAGCCAGTTCTAAGGCCATGTCAAAATACATAAGGAATCAAACTATCAATAAAACCTCTGTGGCTGTTTTCCGAAATTTTTAACACTATTTTCAGAAACAATCACAAAACTGCATGACTATATTATCTGTGTTATTAAATAGAATATTTGAAATAAATGCGTTGATAACTTACATAGTCATCTTGATGTCCATAGCCTCCTTGTTCACCACCATAGCCACCCTGGCCACCTCCATATCCACCTCCGTAGCCACCACCATAACCTTGGTGACCATACTGGGCCATGGCAACAGCCATCAAAGTTGCGATCAAAGCAATCTGCATAAAATTGTATAGAAGACATTTTGAGTAAACGTGAAATACGAAATCATCAAACGGACCATTAATACGACATCAGCATGAAAATTGTTTAATTTACATGTAACTAAATTAGCAAAATTCAGACTAACACAACAGAAACAATAACTACTTCTTTTTAGAACGAAACCTGATATTTATTACTCCTTTATTCTGAATAATTTATAGGAAAAACTTCATTATTCAAAGATTAATTATAAGCATTAAGAAGCTTTCATGTGCCAAAACTCGCATGTGTTTAAACACAGAAATTAAGCTATTCAGTTGTGATTTCTGTCGGCCACGAAACGAAAATTCATTCTTAAATTATTATTAAATTATCATTTATTCATAAAAACCTCTGCTGTAGAAGAAAAGCTTTACTTTATTCTCATATGTTCATGTTTATTCGGGAATAAAGATTATTAAGATATATTATTTTTTGTTATCATATGATTGCTTCACAAGGAAATATTAGATATAGTTTTGTCTTAACAGAAACGAAGCGGTTAGATATACCGGTATACCGAAGCGGTATTTATTTGAATTTTAACTAATGATACTGACATGTAGAATGTGAAATATACTTTAAGAATATTTAAACTTGTTTGAAAAAAGTTAAAACTTAAAAAGCAAGTATTTAAAATTACAATGATTTAAAAGAAATTACGTGTTCTGATGTACGCATTTTTCTCTGAAATATTTCAAACCCGAAACATAAACATTGAAATATTTAAAATATAATTAGTTTAAATTTCTATTTTACTTGATAAATTATTTTATATTCTAGTTTTTTAAAATTATGCATCAAATTTAAATTAATTATAAGTTTTGCTAATTACTAGGACTTTCGGTACATTTGATGTACATAATCACACAGGCAAAACCTTTAGCATGAAAGATCTACTTCATTTTTCAATCCGAAATTTAAATGTTTCTCTCAGTTCCCGATTTACAGATTTTGACACTATAAGACTGTTACAGCGTTAAGTATACTATCATATTCTAATTATTTTTGAGATAAATCAGTAAAATAATATGAGTATTGTTAGGCTTGGTTAAATTCAAGATATTAAAAAGTTGCATATATTTCTCTGATAAAATAAAAATGCGTTTATATAACTTTGATCTTCATCTTTATTTGGGATAATAAGCGAAAAGCAGATGTTAACTGTAAGTGTTGAGGGATTTCTTGACTATGGCAGTTTCATTAAAGATAAAATAGATTCATTATCTAACAGGAAAACTACTTATCTATTTGTTATTACGCCCTCATTTGTAGTTATTTAATTAATGTACTGAATTATTAACCATTTTCAGGATTAAAATAGCAGCATACTCATTTCCATCAAAACTAAAACTCAGTTAGTTCATATTTTGCAGAATTCGTTTCATTATTATTTTAAATTTTATGCTAGTTTTATAAACAATTCTAAAGAAATTAGCAGCGCTTATTTTCGATTTACAAATGCTCAAAGAATTAATATCTAATTTAAAATTATTGATGTTTAGATTTATCTTTCTAAATAATACAAGATGGTGATGTGAAACTCTGTTCGCATAACTACAATGGATCTTTACGGGTTGTGGCAGTTTTAAGTTTCAGATTTAGGAGGCTATTCAAAGTTCGTGCTCCACTGAATGTCTTTCTCGCTATTTTAATATAATTTAAACTTCCTTTATATTTTTAAGAAACTTTCTTGCATTATGAAATATATATCATTATATTAAAGACAAATTTGACTAAACAATATTAACGCTATTACTTTTATTCGTCAATTGGCTCATGATCCAGATTATAAAACATTAAATACGAGCACTCGTAAAAGATAATTTTCTCTCGTAATCGTATAACCGCAGGTGGGCTTTTATGGTTTCCAGTATGTAATATTAATTTCATATGAGATTCCCCATCAAAATTACCCCATGGAAGTACTTTTCTACTCTAGAAAGTTATCTGGCGAGAAGACAAGAAATTATCCAATATTAACTGTTTTGTCGTTCCTACAACGAAGTACAAATTTTTATATCTAATACAAACAAAACAAAACAACAACAACAAAAAAAATTTTGTTTATCTTTACTCTGTTATATATTTTCTAAATACTTCAAAATAATAATTTTAGAAAATAAAGTTATCATTAATTTTACAAATCATTATAATCCTATCCTTAGCAGTTTATATCTTATACTGTTTTCTTTTCTAAATTTGCTTTCAAAAATCTTTAGAAAATTCAACTATCGATTTAGAAAGAGCTGTACTTAACTTACCTTAAGCATCTTGCTAATAGAAATTCGTTGACTCGAAAGTCTAAAACTGTTGTAACGGTGAAAGCTGTTGGAAATACACCTGACCATGTGCCACCGCTCTTTTATACCATTCCAATAAATGACAAAAAATATTCTCCTATTTTTCTACGTTCTGGACGCCCTCAATTAGAAACCCAAAGCACTTTCTCTCACGCGGCGAACTAGATCTCGGCCAACAGGGTGGGGTTGGGACGCTTGAAATCGAGAGTGATCGGGGCTACCTCCAACTTCCTGGCGGGCACATGTGTGTTCGCTATCGACACGCCCTGCAGAGAGCATCTTGAAATTTATTGAACACTATTTGCTTTAGAAGGAAGATTTACGCTATTTTCCGCAACCAATTTATTGTTTATTTCAGTAAGCTTAAGATACTATTACCAGAACATTCTTAGATCCAGAAGGAAAGGAATTAAAGCAATTTGGAAACGCTTGACTTACATTCACATCTTGAGTACATTTAGTTTGTTTACTCAAAGATCACTCTAGACAAAGAATGCACTAGGCAGTTGTAAGATCTCATGTTTTACTAGAAGTTTACTTATCTACATGGAGAATAAAAATAAATCTTCGTTCTTGATTTAGAAATAACTCACAATGTCTTAATGCGTTTATTTCACTGATGAAACATTGAAATAGTGAAGAGTATTTTGCTTCATTTTCATTAAATAAGTTGGCATTTAAAGTTAATTAATTTAAAACCTGTGTTTAGAAAGCAATGCAATTATTTCTATCAGAATAAAAAGGTATTTGCTACCTGTAGGCATAAAAATTAAGTTTTTGAAGATGAAGTTTAAAATATCATAATAAAGTGAGTTTTAACTTAAATTTTGGATTTACGTAACAATAAATTTTTATGAATGTTTTCCATATTTATGTTACTCACTGTTAATATTTAAGTTAAAACAGCTTTTTTATATCTCTATGAATAGAAGCACAGCACATGTTTCATAACTTTACTTTCTGACAATAAAATTTTATGGCTTTCTTGTGTTCGCAAGTCATTTAATAGTTCCTTGCAATTAGCAACGATAGTCATTTTAGCATTTTCTTGCAACTACCAAAAACAAGATATTTTCAAATTTTTTAAACATTACACAATTCTATAAGTTTAACAATATGCACCACTCTGAAGAAAAAAGCATTTAATATCTAAGAATATGTTTTAAAATTTTTTTGTTAAAGAATTAACATACCTGCAATTAAATTTTCGGTTTCAATCTGCAGAGTACTTTCTATTTCCATCAAATATAAAAAATTTCGCAGCATATCTGTAATTCGTGGACCCACCAGCTGCCGAGCGGTAAAGTCCCTGAACACTGGAAATTCGGTTCGAATATCGCGAATTTGCTGGCTGCATGGGGTTTTTCATAGTTTTACCCACGTGTAACGTGTTAATACGAGCCAGTTTCTCTTAAAAAGTCCTTCACGAAGGCATCCCTCCCTTTTGTATAGTGTCTTTCGATGTATAAAATCTGCCAATGGAATTCTTGCTCATTTACCTTGCACAGAAAATATGAGTCTTCCTGTCGATTCAAATACTGAGTTTATAAAACATATTGCAAACTATTTTAAAGGTAGGCCAATAAATGCCGTTGCTATAAGGCACAATGCATTTTAAATTTATTTTCCGATGAATTAAAATTGTTTACTTTTGCTCAAAGTTTGAGTTAATGAGACATACTATGTAGATCGTTTTCAAATATTAGTTTCATTGATATTTGGAAATTTGTTGAAGAAAATACTGAAAATCCCAAATTTGATTTGTTTTCAATAGGACAGAGTTTAGACTGAGTTTTATACGCAGTAAACACGAATAATTACGCGTTTCTAAAATTTTATTTCTTCAGTTCTGAAATGATTGCAAAGTCATCAATGCAAAAGTTCCAATTAGTGCAGAAGAAAGCTTTGTAGCCTAATAATTCTTTTCATTACTCTAGAAAACAAAATGTACTAATCTGTAGTTTAACAGCTAAAAGTTTTTTATCACTGGAAATGCCGAAATTGCAGATACTGTATACAATATTTGCCCCAATCGTTTTGCATTTCATTGCGTTTTTTCCTTGAAACCTAATAACTGTTATAATATTTGAATACAAATTTCAGATTAATATTTAAATAATCATTAAAGGATCCATATTACGGTGGCTCGCATTTTATTTATACCTTCGCAATTATACAATCATATTCAAGAAAATTTCAAATTTACTTTGATCTTGTAAATACAACTTCAGCTTCTTTAGTAAGAACATTTCATGACTGTTTCTTATCAATAAGGTTAATTACTAAGCATAAGAATTTGAAACTTAAACACTCCTTATAAGATTTCCCTGTTACTTTGTGTTATTTAGCATACCTTATAAAAATACATGGTATAATTATCAGATGCCTTCCTTGGACTTTGTAGTTCCAGATGTTAATCTCAAGCTGTGCAAACACTGAAGTCACTCAGTGGGCTTCATGAGAAGAATGAGGTACAAAGTTAAAAATTGTTAAAAGTCGCTGTTTTCTTTCATTGAGAGTTATAATAATTAATGACAATGGAATCATAAAAATTCATTTGCATAGTAAATTCTTCCGAGTCGTGAAAACTACTAGACACAACGTAGCATGTATAAAGAAAACCTCCGATCAAGTTCTTTTAAGCTCTAATGCAGAATTGATATCAGATATTTAGAACGCAGAATGAGAATCAAATTTTCACACAAGAAAAAGTTTGAATAATAGTTTTACAATCACGAAAGAACCACGATGAAAGATTTCACTACTTTCAGTCTGTGAGCTGTTTTATATACATATGCAAAGATGATGCAATCATTAAGCCGATATGCTCATGCGATTTCATCATATTGAGAAGTCATTTACTTGAGATTGCATCAGCTTCCAATCTCGCCCCTTCTTTCTCCTTAAATAATAATGTCAAACGTCAGAACTATTAGGTTTGTTTTCCCCAGTACATTTAGTCTTCTTACTGATAAATTAAAAAGTAGATTTTTTTTTTAATTTTAAAAGAAGTAGCTTAAATAGATTAAAGCTGCGATGTCAAACTAATTTTATAATGAATTTCTTTTGGTTTATGATTAATTTTGGTGGCTCCTTCAGGAAGAAGAAATTCCTGGCCCCACCAGGAAGAAGAAAAAACGAAATTAAAATCGAAATATTTTGAAATTTCAATTTTGTAATTTCAATATTTTTAGTAAATCTTTTCTTTTGAACATTTAAAGGAATTTTGATTGATGATATTGTAGAAAATTATTAATTGTTATATGTTATATCTATTATTATAAATGTTTGTTTTCAATATAAAAAGTATTCTCTTAAAGAAATATAATAAAATGATATAACATCCCTATATTAAAGAATATATATAGTACTTCACATAAACTTTAACTCATTTCCATAATGATACTTTTAAGTATATTTACTAGTTACAGCATATATAAAGTTAATAAGTAAGTGAAACTACTGTGGCCAACTGAAAGTTTGGCTCTTTAATGCATTATTTCTGCACTTCTGTCTGAAGGGCCGTATATATATCAGTTGAGAAACATTGCATTAAAGTAATCTATGTACTCATTTATGATTATGCAATTTATTAAGCATAAAGATAAAGAACTGGCTGCTCAAAATTATGCTTTTCTAATCACAAATCTGTGCATCGAAACCATATTCACAAGAACAAAATATACAACCTATCTGTATGAAGGCTAAATGCGGAAGGACATCTACTGTACTGCTAATCAAAATTATATACAAATATTTTCTTCCTATAAAATTACAAAATAATTTGCTAAATTTTCAGAATTAATAAATTATTTAAATGAATTAATGCTTGAAATAAGCTAAATTAATCCATTTATTCAGCAGTTTGCTGAAAAAACTAGCTTCACCCCAATTTTATAAGATTTCGATAACTACGCTGATAATAACAGAAGCAAAATTTTGCTTACAGCAAATTTATATTACGTAAGTGTTTTGAAGAAATCATACATCCTTCCTTCTTCATAATAAATATGTCTATATAATACATAAATGTTTGTTAAACTGGTTTAAAAAAGTAATTTATTCAAAAATCGTTTCATAAAAAATAGCTTTGTTTATTGCTTCTCTAGATTTTAGTTTTCTCCATTTATTCACGTGTAGATTTATTTAACTGGTTAATTATATATTTGTTACATTTTGTAGTGAAACACGGGAAATAATTCATAGATAAAATGAAAATACATAACGATATACGGTATACATAACAATCTACACAATTTAGTTACTCTTAAAAGTGAAATAACCACAAAAAGATGAGTATCAAGCACTATATTAAACTACTTTTACAAATTTTTAACTATGTATAACGCAGGTAGAACTTCGCTTTGTCGAAAGCAATGAGGAATATTCGGATTAATATTGATTTGTGCTATGTATATTATTGAAATGTTATACAGTACGTATCATTATATGCTAGAAATTCGACTTAAAATCTTGAGTCAAGAGTCTGATGGAAGCAAAGCATTTCCTGCAATGTGAAAGCGGGAGGGATTAAATGAATACAGTCAATAAAGAAGAGTAAAATATAACTTTGGTATCACTAAAGATATCGCAGAAAAGAGTTCAATAAATATTATCTAATTCTTTTTGCTTAGTTTCCAACTTGAGAAACACCAGCATCGAGGATCAATCGAGGAACATGTTCTCAGAAATCCACGTTAGACTTGATGTCGTCAAATACTATTTAGAGGAATAAGATGCATTCGTTTGACGTCCATATTGTAGATTCTAAAAGGAAGCATAAATTACAACCATATCCCTAGAAGTTTAATTCAGTACTAGTCCCATCTATTAAAGAGAACAAAGATAGATTTTGGCCCTAATCATGTGGAATACAAAACTTAGAGAGAATTGAATTCAATAGTACTTCGAACTGAAAAATCACGTTTCTTGATTTGAACCGAACATTTAAAGCTTCTTGACTTAACGTTTCGGATACTTTCTGAAATAACTTCTGGAAATAAAGATGTAATTGCTACGTTTACTTATTTTATGTAATGGTTCGAAGTCTTCTAAAACAATCCAAATGTGTAGAGCAGTAACGTTATTCGTGTATGAACTCGGAGCTTATTTTGCGAT